TAATGAGACATTTAATTGGTTTTGTTAGAGGGTGCGATATTCATATAGCAAGGACCCCACAAGGTTAGTTCGAGCTTTTCGTTATTTTCTTTTGTTGTGTGCTCGAGGATTTTTATTTCAAATTAAATATTGTAATTCAACATTTATACGGATAGTACGGAAAATCGGTTATTTTATCAATATCGAGCATATTTCAAATGAAATGTAAGAAGGCTAGGCAGTAGATTACAATAATTCAATAAATTGCAATATTCACCATCCGCTACAGAGGCAGGTATAACGCATTTCAAACATCTGGATTTTATTTCACAGTAATTCCGTTGGAAAGCGTCAATCAGAACACAACATATGCCATTATTAGTCAAAATACTCTAATTGCAAACCAACCCTGCGTTAGTCCAGGACAACTAAAACATAAGAACACGATTGATGGAGCCGCATCCTATCTGCACTGACGGAGGAAGGGAAAATTATTGAGTCTTCAATTGCAGAATTTAGATCTAATTTTTACTTGGAGAACTTGACCTGCACAAACTTTGGTAAACTCATACGCAATAAACGAGTCTTTCAAATTGGTAATGTGTTTTTCATACCATAATAATGATCGTCAAAGAAAAATCGGACATTAGGAAGAAAACATGAAATTAATAATAGCTTCCTTGTGAGTTAGTTGGTTTAGTGGCCACATGTTTACTAGAGCTTCAGCTATTTAGCTCTCTCGCACCGAAAGTCACCAACGAGGCGGAAGGTCTCAATTATTCATCACCCACAAGGGGCGGAAGGTCTCAATTATTGAAAGTTCTTTAAATCAGGAATCGTTCATCACCCACAAGGGACGGAAGGTCTCAGTTGTCCAGCCCGCTGAAGCTGGCTCAAAAGAAGCAACGTTAGCATCTCAAAGAGACGAAGTCACAAGGAAAGACAGGTGAAAAGCAACAGAAACGAAGACACTCGAACGTGAGATCGCTTACACGGGACGTCGGCCGCCCGCACGAGAGAGAGAGAGAGAAGGGAAATGTAAGGAATCCTACCTACATAATAAACTTGACCCCACAACTGAGACCTACAGTCAGACACCGCGAGCTCAGCGGTGGGGCGCTCAGGAACAATCCCCTCGGAGCGCGAAAGCCCATAGGACTTCTGACAAGCACAGACACGCGTCAGAAGTCTCCCCTGAGGAGGGCTTCCTTGTAAGAACAAAATGAATTTCACATGGATTACTGGACATCTAAAGGGCACACGAGATGCACAGGCAAGCTATGAACAGGGACGTGATTTTTAGAGTACATCATAGTCCTCTTACCTAACATCGACAAGGCGTTCTCCTTACTAGTTTAGGTCGGGGCCACGCACATACACATGCGGCTATTGTTTAGCTAGTGAACCCAAAATTTTAAATTCTGTGTAAATTTATGCAGACGCGGCAAAAAATTTAATTTAATAATGTGTTAGCACTAGTCGGACGTCAAGTCAGCAAAATTATGAAATGAAATATACCTACGACATTTGGCCATGTCATGAAGGATCCTTAGCACGTTACACATCAAAGAGGACGAGCAGTGAGAGGAATGGAAATTAATGAGGCTGAAATAAAGGCCAACAAATAATAGAAAAATTATTGCATAAGGCATCTAAATGGGGAGGTAAGGTGTGGATAACTACAATATGTACTCGTTAGCACAGCATTTCTGGGACATAAGAACGAGTATAATTAACATGATGTTTGTCACGAAATAATGGGCAACTTCTGTAAAAAGCATACAGAACAAATTGCAATCATTTGAAACGAGTAAAAGAGAGCATTCAAAATTTTGAAATAATGTAGTAGGTCGTTAATGATAAATAACCATTATCCGCCATACAATAAGAAGGGTAAAATGAGACGGCTTCTAGAAGAAAAAAAAGGATGCGAGCTCAGACAGATAAAACGTACGCTGTTTGAACGATGTTAAGCTTGAAGTACATTTCATTGAGTGACCAGAATATTTTTAAACTCAAGGGTAAAGCTAAGTCAACAGAGCGGTTGTTGCTATAATATTCCATCTAACCTTCAGAAGTTACGCTACAAGGTTCCTTAAGTTACTACTAAAGTCACACGAGTTTGAGCGATGAATTCAGCTCGGTTGGTCTATGGACCGAAAAAGCAATTAAAGTTATAGAAAAGATTATCGATTAACAGCCAACAACAATACATGACAGCACGGGCTACATCAAGGGTTTAAGGTTAAACACGGTCAACGTCAATATCATTGAGCACTGGCAATCGCTAGTCGCTTTTTATCAGAGATCTGAACTTATACTAAGGTTTTTAGATGTAGATAGACTATCAATGTTCTGACAGTTTTTCTAATGAAGGCAAAAGCAACAATAAAATTTAATCTAAAATCGAAACACTTCATGTCTTACAACGAGGATTCAAAAGAACAAATTTAGTTCAGAGTAGGATATTCTAAATCCACAAGATTCTAAATCTGCTCCTTCACTATTAAACTACGAAGCGAACTTAGTATTCAATTATTACACCTCTTCTTAAGCCTAGAGCTCAGCACGTCAGGAGGTAGAACCAGTGCTGAACCGTTCTAGGCGTAGCGTTTAGAAAGGCGTTACATTGTAAATCTTATTCTAAATCCACAATAAACAATTTACTTGTACATAAATCGGAATTCAGCTGGCACAAATTTCGGCAGCTATAATAATCTACAAAAACACCAAGCCTGCCGAACGGCACATTTACAAATGAATTTTTAAATGATCGGTTTCCTTAATTAAACTCACGAGCACCACGGGAATGGAATGAAAAACAGCATTTCAATAACAGATTCCATGATGACGTAAGAACACATCAAATATTCAAAGAAACAGCGCATATCACAATAGAAAATTTCAAGTTGTTGCAGTGGAACTTAGATAGCCGCTTAAGAGAAGACGTTCTGGGCCTATACTTTCAAAAAAAGTTAAGAGATCGTAAGTTCATGAGCCAATCATTGACGGCCTTTCAAGCAAAATCCACCAATCATAGACAAGGAAATAGAGCGTAAGTACTTACGTTAACTTAGCCAGTTTTGAAAGGATGGCCTCAGATGTTAAATCCGAGCTTTTGCTTTGCCCCCTTCAGAATGATCGTCAAAATCTCCAGGCAAGAGGGTCTTAATTGAATATAACAATTCTTTCATTTGATTCTAAGTTTCCAGCATGTCTTGGAAACCACTGCATTGACGACCGTACTTGCACTCGTCTTTCGTACAAAGCTCGTAGACTGTCTGCTTGAGTGTTGCAATTCGGCGGTGGAGGAGCTCAGATTAACTTTTATATATATAATATAATACTAATCTTTTTAATAATATATATATAATTTAATACTAATCTTTTTAGTGATATTAATTCTCCGGGTAAAGAAGCAGAGATATCTACAGCAACATGCTCCATGTGCACTTTGCATTTCCGCCGCATTTATTTTTTCCAGTTCATCTTTTTCAAGGCACAGTGACGATATGGATTTCAGTTTTTCTGTAACATATATTGATGCTGATTCTTGTTTATCAATAATATTCTTAACGTGCACTACTATTTTGATAGATATTTTTTCCTCAGAATACATCGTAAATTTCAAACAATTTGGAATTTTGAAATGTCATACGATTTATTATTTTTCTTATTAATGAGATTCATGATGACGGGATTCTAAAACTGCAGGGATCTAACGATCCCGCCAATTTTGGGTAAACCTGGTAGCAGTGAATAAAGTATCCAAATGACAAATGGTAGCAGTTACAGATTAAAAACAATTGTATACTGTACATTTCAACATTTTGTCCCTGCATCTGAAACTATGTCTAAAAAGTAAAAAGTTTATCCGTGAAATACATTGTAAATATCAATATTTGTGTATTGTCGGTGAATAATATCAGAGTCTGCTCTTTTTTCAGGTATAACAAGTCTATAGTATACAAGTACAGTTGCGCGCAATACAGATCAGTGACTGTCGTTCTGACGTCACGCTATACTTACATTCTAGACTGGCTGAGCTTCCAGGGAAAAGTTCGTAAACATGATACCTGCACATTACTTGCATTCGGCTGTATACGGGATAATGCGGGGCAGTGCAAAGTCCCAGCATTCGAAAGCGAGTTAATAAATTTAGCTCTTATAACCGGTGTCTGACTTAAGAAGTTTAGAATCCTTATTTTCAAACAGTTGCCTAGTTTAAGCGCAGCGTTCAGTTCAAATCCAGTTGAGCTTGGTAATTAGATTTATATTCTATTTGTAAATTACAGCTTCAAGTATGCAATGTGAATTTTGGTTACCTATAGTTATTTGTACGTGCATTCAATGATGGTCGATCTGACGATATATAGAGCTAGACGCCGGATCACTGTATTCTACAAATTATGGTGAATATTTGTGTCATTTTATTTGCTCTAATATTCCTGAATAAATTGCGTGTTTAGCCGTTTTTACTTTCATTCACAGTATAACTTCTATCATCAAAATTCATCTGTTACGCTGCCGATACGTTCACCCTCAATATTGCATGGCATCGTGTTTTTCTGCTTTGGACTTGCGTTGAAGGTCAGGCTGGAGTGATGCGGCTGGGTTGAAATATTGCGCGGCTTTCATTGAAGTATCGAATATATATGCCTTATTGACTCGGTGATAGAATATTTTCCGAGTACATTAGTTAGCTGGCTTCTGTTCTGTCAGCTCGCGTTCAGGGAGTCCTTTAGGGTTGAGGGGCAAAGAAAAATGTCTAAATGTATCTGGGAGTGGACGCTCCATAAGGACGTACTATGACGCGGCACATAGTACGTAATATGAGTCGGAAAACGTACTATGACTCACCTGCAAATATCGGCCCATATAAAACGTTTCTCACGAAAACATTACATGAAATTTGAATACAATTAAACCAGACAGGGCAGTAAAATATATGCGTCTCAATTGCTGCCAATTGGGTCGCATTTAAATCATTTATTGTATTGTTACATAATAGTTGTAGAATATATCCCAGAAACTACGTGTGATAGCATAATTCGTAAATAATGCATGCAAAGGGATAAATGAATATAGTAAATGCATCCTACTATCCATTCCCTTAATCTTTATTTTATGGGTAAGAGAGAGTGAAACTCGACTGTAAAAAATCTGTGATTTGAATATATTAATACAATATATGTCTGCAATACATCTAAGCAAATGAATGGGTTAGGCAAGAATAAAAGTTTTCTGACGCTCAGTTCGTCTTCTTCTGGCTCATTTCAATGTTCTTCTGTGACATCACGCTGGATTTACCATTCACAAGACAGTTGAATAGTCGGAGGAACTGGAACATGAAACATGAGTCATCAATGATAAACATTTACGGACATTCTGTTAACTCTTCTGTTTGTTGCAGTGGTCTGACATCGTTGAACTTCTATGAAAGACGTTTTTAGCGCATTTCTCAATTATTGAAAAAAGACGCTATTGTGCCCGTCATGTCCGTCTGTCTGTTCGTCTGGCCGTCCGTCTGTCCGTGATTTCGCGTTTTCGTCGACGAGAAAATGCGCTCTCTGTCACTCCTGCAGTGAGTACTGAGTTATAATTTTTTATTTCATTGTTCGAACTATGCGCAGCCGTTAGTAATTTTTCCTTCTTATTTTGAAATTTGAGCAATACAAATGGAAAATGATGCATTTGTTTCTAAATCAAATAGATAAGCACATGTTTTTACTTACGTTCAAATATTTCATGGTGGACTTCACGCAAGTCGGGTACCCGGCTATGAACTTAGCGTCAGCACTGCATTTGTTCTGCAATGTGGTTGCTTTGAAGGCCGCGTCGTCGAACGTGTTGTCTGCCTTCAGCTGCAGAACGGGAGATGGAGAAAAGGAGCATATATGGTTACTGGAGTTTAGATTCAAACTAATTTTTTTACTCGTTGAAATTTTTTTTAATGTTAAATAAGATCGGAAAAGGTATCGCAAGCTGATCTTATCGTGCGCGCTGTTGCGTAGAAATATAAGAGTATCGTTGATGATGTATGGAGAAATTTTTGAACATGGAAGCAATACCGAATTAAAAAATATCTTCCCGCTCTCTCAACCCACTTGCCAGGTCTATGTACCAGTGGTACACAGACCTGGAACCCACCTGGTTCTCGCAGCCTCGACCCACTTTTCAGGTACCAGTGGGTCACTCCCAATAGTTTGTGGCCGACATTAACCTCGAAAAAATTGGCCCTAGACCAAACATAAATACTACTGAGCGCGTGTGTTGCGAGTATGAGACCAGACTTTTTGAGCGGTGTAATGTCCCATGGTTGAACTATATGAGGTTGACCCACGAGGATTTCCGTCTTTCAGTCCAGCTTTCTTGTTACGTCACTGAGATCGAGAAACGTAAACAATCCCGTCATTCCTATCACGGATTGGTTGACTGGTTTGATCGCATTTCGGTGATTGGTTAATGCCCGTGACGTCACTGAGATCATTTCCATGACGGATTGGTTGACTGGTTTGATCGCATTTCGGTGATTGGTTAATGCCCGTGACGTCACTGAGATCAGTGAGGTCACAGGCGAACAACAAACTATATCCGCAAAATTGAGCTTCTCATGGGTCAACCTTATACTAGTTCAACCATGTAATGTTACTAGTCATGAACTCGGCGCCCAATGTACAGTCACACTCACAAGTCGTGCACTCGATGCTCAATGTACAGTCATAAACACAAGTAATACACTCAGTGCTCAATGTACAGTCACACACATAAGTTCTGCACTCGATGCTCAATTTTACGGCATAAACACAAGTTTATAAGCACTCGATGTTCAATGAACAGTCTAACTCATAAGTTCTGCACTCGATGCTCAATGTACAGTCATAAACACAAGTCATGTACTCGATGCTCAGTATTGTCCATTACTCACTAGTTTGGCAGCCTTCAGCCCGCACTTCGAGTAGTTGGCAATCATTGAATCGCATGTAGCCGCGTCTTGCTCTGTGAAGATAGCGCAGTTGCGGTCTGAAGTGGAACGAAGCAGTCGTTTATGTTGTGTTGGTGGCATCTCATTGCGAAACAACTCATAGGAGTGAAACGATGCAAGAATTCTATTAGTTAGTTAACCTTCGATAACTCAACTAGAATCATTGAAAAATCAATGCGTATTCATGAAAGAACTGTTCATGTCCTAGTCAATGAGCAAAATGTCAACGAGCAAAATGCATGTTTGATTCGTACTCCAGAGTATCTGCACATTGAAATCTAAATATTTTAGTGCTTGATGAGAAGTTTTAATAATAACGATTGTTTTAATTGGGAGTAAAATAGTTCGTTTTAATTATTTTAACACTTACATGTCAAATATTTCACCAAATCCGCAGAGTATTGTGGCGAGCAAGCAGACCACGCCGTTCCTCCCACAGCATTGCTGGCATCCAACAACGCCGAATAGCAAGCCGAGTCAGCGCTGGAATTAATCCACAAATTAAATAAATACGACCCTTATAATTAATCATATTCTAGTATCTCTACAGGTACGTTTTCTGCTTCATCAAGTTCGAAATAAGATGTGCCACTGAGAAATTAAATTTTCACAAGTAAATCCTTTCAAGTTAATGTGGTAGTTAGACAACATCAATAATCATATTAAGTTTCTGCTTACAATGTGAATAAAATTGATTTGATCAAGAAAAAGTCACACGACGAAGAAAGCTCCTGAATTTCGGACAGGAGATGAGCACAAGATCGGTTGCAATCACCGTTTCCGAAAAGTTTTTCTTGTGACCTCCGCGGCATGCAAATCTCACTGCATTAACTTGAAAAGCGGTGTTAATGGGTTAAAATGTACGAAGTTTTTTCTTCCGCGACCTGTAAATCTTGCTGTTCCAATAAGTTTAACGAACACTCCTTCCGCAACCTAAAAATTTTACTGCCGCATTAAAATGTGCAAACACTTCTCTCCGCGATCGGATGCATGCAGGTGTAAAGTCTCCTCCTCGCTCCATACAATGATTAAAGTTGAGTAGGAATGCAATGATAAAATATGAGCAGGAATACGATGATATGGCCAGGCAGGTCGTCGGACCTCCAGCTCATGACATGACTTGTTCTCAGCGAGAACCAAATGTTACAGTGGTTAACAAATTATATTATTCAACTGAATATGATCCCTTAAATTCTACTCATGTTGACGCAAAAAAAATTTGTTTTCATTCACCTGCAAGAGGGCAATGTTCTTTAAATCTATCATGATTAGCGAACATGCCGCCTACGTAGGGTTGCCTTAAGTGATTACAGTTCGGAATACCAAAACCGAAGCAGTGAGTTGCATGTTTGATACCTGCAGCAAGCTGTGAATGTCGTGCATTATTAAGAATGACACCGCATTTACTATTACTTTTTATCCGATTATTGTCAGGCAAGCATCGAATGCCGTAAATAATTCTGATTTCATTTTTCCAGCGCTTCAAAACTAGAATTATCACTTAGTTGATTACTGACATTTTCACGTCGCCTTCTACAAAACATTTAGTATCGTGTTTCATTCTAAAACTCAGGTATTGATGCTGCCATCGTATGAACCGAAGCGTCGCAAATATAAGAAGTTACTGTCCTAGTAATCATAAGAAACCTAAAAATAAATATCAGTAGCATTTAATACGAAATATCCTCATGAAAAAACTTGAACATATTTCCGTTTGGTTAGTATTGCCAAAACCATTCATGATATTCTGAAGACGTGTTACTTACGCCTGCGCCGACGCTGCTGCCGCGGCGACGATGAAAAGCACGAAACCTCGCGACATCTTGGGGCTGTGATCAGGGCCTGGACGACAGTGTCTGCTGGCAGTTCAGAGACTGCTGCTGGGACTACTGGGGAACGACGGGGTCTGCGGGCAGTTCAGAGACTTGCTGCTGGGTCTACTGAGGAACGACGGGGTCTGCGGGAAGTTCAGAGACTTGCTGCTGGGACTACTGAGGAACGACGGGGTCTGCGGGAAGTTCAGAGACTTGCTGCTGGGACTACTGGGGAACGACGAGGTCTGCAGGAAGTTAAGAGACTTGCTGCTGGGACTAATGGGGAACGACGGGGTCTGCGGGAAGTTCAGAGACTTGCTGCTGGGACTACTGGGGAACGACGGGGTCTGCGGGAAGTTCAGAGACTTGCTGCTGGGACTACTAGGGAACGACGGGGTCTGCGGGAAGTTCAGAGACTTGCTGCTGGGACTACTGGGGAACGACGGGGTCTGCGGGAAGTTCAAAGGTTCTTGCTGCTCTGCTATGTTGTTTGCATGTGGCTCTGATTTTATAGGTCTTTGATTTGTTGGTCCAGGTGCAGTAAGAACAAAATGCAAGCAGCCGCCCAGCCATCTGTATGAATAATGATTTGCATCCTTCTAGTGTACGAAGGTTGGATGTTACATGAGTTTTTTTTTTGCTTATGAAGGTNCAAATACGCGCGCCCCACGATCGCCCCAAGCTCGACGAGTAATTTCACAAGATTCCATTTCGGCGCTTATTTCGCTACGGCAACCGGAACCTAATGCGGACATAGAGCTTCTAATTTACCCGGCCATAAGAACTTGGGGCGTCCGTGTGCCAGCGGCTGACAGGCCTTCGAATTTCGATAGGTATAGGTGCTATGAGTTCCTCCAATTAAGCATTCTGCAGTTAAGGTGAAAGTATTCTCACATTCAAAAGTGCAGAATAATTGCAGGCATAAATGAAATTAGGGCATATTATTTCGGATAAAAAACTTTGACACACAAATTTTCGCATTGTAGATGAACTTGAATAAATAATCTGTGAAAAAAATGAAGTATCGTGTATTGATAATAAATTTCAATTTAAATCGGTTCTTGAAAATTATCACTAAAAACCTCCTTCGATGAAAGATTTATGATTACTGAATTTTGAGAAGATTTAAAGTTATTGTTCTGAGACAATGTTCACTATCTACACGAATTAAAATATTAAAATTAGAAGAAAGTCATAACTGATAAGTGATGATCAACTGCGTTTAAAATTATAAAGGTTCGTTGTGATAAGCATTTTTAGCATTTCTGAAATTTTCTAGGCATATTGAAACGCAAGCAAATAAATCCAATAAACTTCTTGGACTGATCAGACGCTCATACGAGTCCCTAAAAGCAGTTGAACGCAGCCGAACGTTCAGCAGCGTTCGGCTGCGTTCAGCTGCATTCGGAACGCAGCTGAACGCTCTCCCAGTGTTGGTCAGATTTCGACGTTGATTCGACGTTTAATTTTGGTTGTTCGTCATTTCAACCTGAAATCAACATTGATTCAACGTTTAAAAATAGATCAACATTCAACGTACCAAAATCAACGTTATTTCAACGTTGAAATAAGGTTATTCAGCATTCCTTCAGCATGCTATACATGTAATGAGACATTTATTTGGTTTTGTTAGAGGGTGCGGTATTCATATAGCAAGGACCCCACAAGGTTAGTTCGAGCTTTTCGTTATTTTCTTTTGTTGTGTGCTCGAGGATTTTTATTTCAAATTAAATATTGTAATTCAACATTTATACGGATAGTACGGAAAATCGGTTATTTTATCAATATCGAGCATATTTTAAATGAAATGTAAGAAGGCTAGGCAGTAGATTACAATAATTCATTATATTGCAATATTCACCATCTGCTACAGAGGCAAGTATAAGGCATTTCAAACATCTGGATTTTATTTCACAGTAATTCCGTTGGAAAGCGTCAATCAGAACACAACATATGCCATTATTAGTCAAAATACTCTAATTGCAAACCAACCCTGCGTTAGTCCAGGACAACTTAAACATAAGAACACGATTGATGGAGCTGCCTCCTATCTGCACTGACGGAGGAAGGGAAAATTATTGAGTCTTCAATTGCAGAATTTAGATCTAATTTTTACTTGGAGAACTTGACCTGCACAAACTTTGGTAAACTCATACGCAATAAACGAGTCTTTCAAATTGGTAATGTGTTTTTCATACCATAATAATGATGGTCAAAGAAAAATCGGACATTAGGAAGAAAACATGACATTAATAATGGCTTCCTTGTGAGTTAGTTGGTTTAGTGGCCACATGTTTACTAGAGCTTCAGCTATTTAGCTCTCTCGCACCGAAAGTCAAGATGAACGTCACCAACGAAGCGAAAGGTCTCAATTATTCATCACCCACAAGGGGCGGAAGGTCTCAATTATTGAAAGTTCTTTAAATCAGGAATCGTTCATCACCCACAAGGGACGGAAGGTCTCAATTGTCCAGCCCGCTGAAGCTGGCTCAAAAGAAGCAACGTTAGCATCTCAAAGAGACGAAGTCACAAGGAGGGACAGGTGAAAAACAACAGAAACGAAGACACTCGAACAAGAGGTCGCTTACACGGGACGTCGGCCGCCCGCTCGAGAGAGACAGAGAAGGGAAATGCAAGGAATCCTGCCTAAATGACAAACTTAACCCCACAACTGAGACCCGCAGTCAGACACCGCGAGCTCAGCGGTGGGGCGCTCAGGAACAATCCCCTCGGAGCGCGAAATCCCATAGGACTTCTGACAAGCACAGACACGCGTCAGAAGTCTCCCCTGAGGAGGGCTTCCTTGTAAGAACAAAATGAATTTCACATGGATTACTGGACATCTAAAGGGCACACGAGGTGCACAGGCAAGCTATGAACAGGGACGTGATTTTTAAAGTACATCATAGTCCTCTTACCTAACATCGACAAGGCGTTCTCCTTACTAGTTTAGGTCGGGGCCACGCACATACACATGCGGCTATTGTTTAGCTAGTGAACCCAAAATTTTAAATTCTGTGTAAATTTATGCAGACGCGGCAAAAAATTTAATTTAATAATGTGCTAGCACTAGTCGGACGTCAAGTCAGCAAAATTATGAAATGAAATATACCTATGACATTTGGCCATGTCATGAAGGATCCTTAGCACGTTACACATCAAAGAGGACGAGCAGTGAGAGGAATGGAAATTAATGAGGCTGACATAAAGGCCAACAAATAATAGAAAAATTATTGCATAAGGCATCTAAATGGGGAGGTAAGGTGTGGATAACTACAATATGTACTCGTTAGCACAGCATTTCTGGGACATAAGAACGAGTATAATTAACATGATGTTTGTCACGAAATAATGGGCAACTTCTGTAAAAAGCATACAGAACAAATTGCAATCATTTGAAACGAGTAAAAGAGAGCATTCAAAATTTTGAAATAATGTAGTAGGTCGTTAATGATAAATAACCATTATCCGCCATACAATAAGAAGGGTAAAATGAGACGGCTTCTAGAAGAAAAAAAAGGATGCGAGCTCAGACAGATAAAACGTACGCTGTTTGAACGATGTTAAGCTTGAAGTACATTTCATTGAGTGACCAGAATATTTTTAAACTCAAGGGTAAAGCTAAGTCAACAGAGCGGTTGCTGCTATAATATTCCATCTAACCTTCAGAAGTTACGCTACAAGGTTCCTTAGGTTACTACTAAAGTCACACGAGTTTGCGCGATGAATTCAGCTCGGTTAGTCTATGGACCGAAGAAGCAATTAAAGTTATAGAAAAGATTATCGATTAACAGCCAACAACAATACATGACAGCACGGGCTACATCAAGGGTTTAAGGTTAAACACGGTCAACGTCAATATCATTGAGCACTGGCAATCGCTAGTCGCTTTTTATCAGAGATCTGAACTTATACTAAGGTTTTTAGATGTAGATAGACTACCAATGTTCTGACAGTTTTTCTAATGAAGGCATAAGCAACAATAAAATTTAATCTAAAATCGAAACACTTCATGTCTTACAACGAGGATTCAAAAGAACAAATTTAGTTCAGAGTAGAATATTCTAAATCCACATGATTCTAAATCTGCTCCTTCACTATTAAACTACGAAGCGAACTTAGTATTCAATTATTGCACCTCTTCTTAAGCCTAGAGCTCAGCACGTCAGGAGGTAGAACCAGTGCTGAACCGTTCTAGGCGTAGCGTGCTTTTAGGGAGGCGTTACATTGTAAATCTTATTCTAAATCCACAATAAACAATTTACTTGTACCTAAATCGGAATTCAGCTGGCACAAATTCCGGTAGCTATAATAATCTACAAAAACATCAAGCCTGCCGAACGGCACATTTACAAATGAATTTTTATATGATCGGTTTCCTTCATTAAACTCACGAGCACCACGGGAATGGAATGAAAAACAGCATTTCAATAACAGATTCGATGATGACGTAAGAACACATCAAATATTCAACGTAACAGCGCATATCACAATAGAAAATTTCAAGTTGTTGCAGTGGAACTTAGATAGCCGCTCAAGAGAAGAAGACGTTCTGGGCCTATACTTTCAAAAAAAGTTAAGAGATCGTAAGTTCATGAGCCAATCATTGACGGCCTTTCAAGCAAAATCCACCAATCATAGACAAGGAAATAGAGCGTAAGTACTTACGTTAACTTAGCCAGTTTTGAAAGGATGGCCCCAGGTGTTAAATCCAAGCTTTTGCTTTGCCCCCTTCAGGATGATCGTCAAAATCTCCAGGCAAGAGGGTCTTAATTGAATTTAACAATTCTTTCATTTGATTCTGAGTTTCCAGGATGTCTTGGAAACCACTGCATTGACGACCGTACTTGCACTCGTCTTTCGTACAAAGCTCGTAGACTGTCTGCTTGAGTGTTGCAATTCGGCGGTGGAGGAGCACAGATTAACTTTTATATATAAAATATAATACTAATCTTTTTAGTGATAATAATTCTCCGGGTAAAGAAGCAGAGATATCTACAGCAACATGGTCCATGTGCACTTTGCATTTCCGCCGCATTTATTTTTTCCAGTTCATCTTTTTCAAGGCACAGTGACGATATGGCTTTCATTTTATCTCTAACATATATTGATGCTGATTCTTGTTTATCAATAATATTCTTAACGTGCACTACTATTTTGATAGATATTTTTTCCTCAGAATGCATCGTAAATTTCAAACAATTTGGAATTTTGAAATGTCATACGATTTATTATTTTTCTTATTAATGAGATTCATGATGACGGGATTCTAAAACTGCAGGGATCTAACGATCCGGCCAATTTTGGGTAAACCTGGTAGCAGTGAATAAAGTATCCAAATGACAAATGGTAGCAGTTACAGATTAAAAACAATTGTATACTGTACATTTCAACATTTTGTCCCTGCATCTGAAACTATGTCTAAAAAGTAAAAAGTTTATCCGTGAAATACATTGTAAATATCAAT